GCCAGGGCAGGGGCCGAGCCCCGCACCCCGCACTCAGCCGGGACCGGGAGCGGTGCCGGTGCCGCCGGCGGTGCGAAGTCGGCCTTTGCATGGCTGCGGAGGAGAAGAGGAACCTGCAGCGCTGCAGGCGGAACATCTAGGGGGCCCTGAACCCCATCTACATCCTGAGCAACATGACGGACTGGCTGTCCGACGGTGAGGAGCTTCCCCCGGCGCTGCCTTGCGCCCGCATCTTTCCCGCTGCCGGCGCGGGTGGGGAGCCTTCCTCTCCCCGACGCCACTGCGGGCCCTCTCCCTCACTCTTTGCCTGCTTCGGGTTTTTGCTAGATGTGAAGGAGAGAGTCCGGAAGGAGGAGGAGAAGGGGGTGAGGGCGGCCGCCGCGCTGTTTCTGGACGCCGTCCTGCAGCTGTAGGCCGAGGGCTGGCTCCGGGCCTTCCTCCGCGCCCGGGTTGCAGCAGGTCGGTTCCCACTCGCAAGCGTGGTTTCGACCGCTTCTCCCCTTCCCTGCCAGAGCCGCAGCGGCCGCCGCCCGCATTCAGCCCGGGAGACCAGCCCCGTGGGCCCGGGACGTGGAGGGTCGCTCCATTACCCTTGGGCTTCTGCCATCGTGTCTTGTCACATCAGATGAGATGCCTTAGGAAAAACGGGTTTGACAGAGGTTGGAAAAAAAACTTCAAAGGCACAGGGAAATGCCCATCTGAGAAGCAGGTGGAACAATTTTGATAATGGAGAAAGTCAGTGTAAGATGAAGGGATGTAGAATAAAGCCTCATTGACAGAAGACTTGTCTGCCTCAGAGACTTTAGAGAAGACATAAGACTGCTGTTGTTCTCATCAAATATAATTAAAGGAAGCTAAGTCCTCTAAAATACAAAGCTTAAATGGGTTTTGGGATGTGCATGGGAGTTAAGTGGTAGCATGGGATAACTTCATTCAAGGACAGAGTCTTAAATTAAGAACCGATTTTTAAAAATTATTCAGAGATCTTAAAAGTCTTGTGTTTCAAGAAGTAACTATTAATAGTTTATAAATGAGATGATTGTTCCTCACTAGCTACGACTGTGTGTGAGATCCTAATGCAATTTCCTTTCCAAAGTGTGACAGAAGAGATTGTGAAGGTGTAAAATTACCGGGTTCTGTCAGCTCTCATCTATACATGTAGCTTCTATCATAGATTCTTTCTGGTGATTTACTAGACATTTTCAACCCCAAAATCTCATGCCATATGCCACTTCTGTTTTCATTTACTCACTATTAACTATGGATAGTTACAGTATGTCAGTTAGCAATTATTACAAAATTTCTTACCATTTGGATGTAGCCCACTTTTCCCTTAAAGCAAATACTAGGTCCAGAGCAACTTTGTACCAGGCTGTGATAGTTCTGATTTCTGAATTGCAAAAGTATCTTATTTGGACATGTGCATAGCGTTCAGTTTGGTGTATCTTCATCAGAAAACTGGTTAAAGTTAACCTAAGAACTATCCCAAGTACTTATTAATTGGGCCTGAGACTAGAATTTAGCATTACTCTTGTATTTGTCAGGTGCAGAGATTAGGTGGTAATTAGATTAAAAACACTGTGGTGGTAAGTACCCACAATGCTCTCCTGATCCTCTAAAACAAAAAGTTTGGCAAATTCCTTCTGTTTGCCTGGAGTTCCTCTGGGACCCTGAACTACTTTCTTCCACTTCTGGAGCCTACAAGAGCAAATTGCATAAGTCTTCTAAATATCATTCCCTGCCACACTCTTTTCCAGGACAGTATTTTCAGCTGTTTGCTGACTGTTAAGGCTGAAGGTGTCTGCCTTGCTTTCAGTCAGGGACTGACTTTAATCCAATATAACAAGGATTTTTGAAGGAGGGTGGAGCCAAGGACAGGACTAAAAAGTAAAGGGCTGGTAAATAATAGAAAAGGGGACCAGAGGTGTTTGTGATTCTGAGTGAGTGTCTTGTGCTCTGGGAAATCTGTGGAAGACTGTCATGGATGGCAAGGGTCTCAGTATTGTATGGATCAAAGGAAGGGGGTGGTTATTTTTGCTTGGGTGATATAAGCTACAACATTGTATAGCTCTTTTTCCCCTTTGCAAGTGTTACTGTTCTTTTAGCATAGGGTTTTTCATGTTATACATACAAGTGATATAAAGGACAACAGTCCCTTTATAAAAATTGTTTGTGATTCATCTAGGTTTTTGTCCATTAAAAGGCCAAAATAATTTTAATTTCTCCAGTGTGTTTTTTCAGCTTGTTCCTACCTATTGAATTCATAGTAACAATGTGTCTCTTTTTCTGAAAGGTTACACTGGGCTGGCAGAAGCAATTGAAAACTGGGACTTCAGCAAACTGGAAATACTGGAGTTGCACAGACAGCTCCTGAAGCACATAGAAGCAACAATGTGAGAAGTTGATCCCGTAGCACTCATGCCTTACATAAACACATGCCTGATAGAAAGGGAGTGCAATGAGATCCTGCAGGTACTGTTAGTGGTAAAAATCCTGATATTTGTCTAGTTTTGCTGTGGAGAAGTGCTGGCTGTCTCATCTGTGGGATGAGTTGCTGCCCATCCATCTGCTGCCGAGAGAGGGGGATGACCAGCCACAGTTCCCTGGGAAGGGATTTTACTTTCTTCTGCTTAGAGGAGGCTTTGCTGTGTGGCTGCAGCTTCACACAGCAGCGCTCTCTGAGACACCCGCACATCTCATTCTTCACCCCTCCAGCTCGGTGAATGAAGTGGCCTGTGAAAGGGCTGCAGGCAGGGAAGCAGGATGTGGTGGCTTTGGCTTTGACAGTGCTCAGCTGTGTGTCTTTGCAGGGTCCAGGGCCCCCCAGAGAGACCTCAAGGGCTCTGGAAGGTGCCACATTACAGTGAAATGGGTGCTTTGCCATCCCATTGAAATAGATCCCTTTCTGCAGTGTTCATGCTGCATTAATGCTCCTAAAAATGCAGATAGAAGTAGGCAAAATTGCATTTAGATGTTGCCTAAGTTGATTCATGCTTGTCATAGGATTTGACATAGTCTATTACCTTAACTGTGGAAATCCCTAGAAACTTTGTGTGGCTTTGAATTTTGTCAGTACCCAAAGGGATGGTCATAGGGTAAAACGAAACTTCTGGTTTGAAGTCATTAGCTGAATGCTGTGCCACAGAAGTCGACATTTTCATTGCCTTTGGATGTGAAGCTGCTGTACTGTTACCCAGCTCTAGCTCAGTGTCATTATGGATGGCTGATACCAGGTGATATTACCAATCACTCATCATTTATGACTCACTAATAATGTTATTGATGCTGTGGGAAGGATTCTGTTAGGTGTTCTTGCTCCTTGTGACTCCTGAGAAGGATTGCTTGCAGCTATTTGATTTTTAAAGCAATGTTTTTTTTATGGAGACCCATAATATTTGGAAAGCTGTTGCATCTGACCAAACATCAGGCATGCCATAAACTTTGTACTTCTGCATTTCCCAATCCTGGAATGTTTTTTAATCAGTTCGGTCTCAGAGGTTTATGGCAGATACAGCTTACTACAAGGACCTTGCCAGATGAAAATTCACAGTATAGCTCTGTGATGTTTCTGGCCTTGTGAATATTTAAGCAAATAGCCTACCTTTTGATAGAGTCTGGCTAAGTTCAGAATACACCTAGACTAGCTGAATTGCAGCTGTAGTAGGTAAATGACTGAATTTTACTGGAGACCTTTTATTCTGTGAAAAGGAAAGGCAGTTTTCAACTGAACACCAAACAAAACAAATGAAGATATCAATCAAGAACAGTGGTTTTGATGACTCAGAAGCTACAGCAACTTCTGTTTGTTGTGTGTGCAGATTAAGCAATACAGAAGCAAAGCAGCTGGGTTAACTAAATTCATTGAATGCCTCTGTCGATTGGACAAGGAAAACTGGCCAAAAAGCTTTCAGCTGGCACTAGATAATGCAGGATATTACAATGCAAGTGAATGTGGAATATGAGAGAAGGTAAACTGTGAATTGTTTTTATGATGCTCTTTTTCTATTATTGTACCAGACCGTAATTTATTTTTTCAGGAGACTAAGACTAATTTAAAAGAATACCCTCAGACCACATTGCTCATTGTTGTTTAAAACCCTTTAAAAATTTTATTTAAAATAAAATTTTTTTACATAAAATGAAATAGAGGTACTACCCTACAAACAGTCAAAAACTATTTTTTGTGTATTTTTCCTCCCATATGGTTATGAATCATGATTTTTTTTTTTTGGTAAACAGAATTGAACAGCATACCAGACTCTGAAAGTACAGAACTAACCAAATGTTTATAATCTTTTCTCACTTCTACTGTAATTCACCTTTTTCCATCTTTTTGGTTGCCTAAGTTGTGATAGATGTGATGTTTTCTGATAAAATATGATCACTAGTTTGATATTCTAGACAGTGATAGACTTCTATGATTCACAGAGCAGATTGTATGCTTTTCTCTTTGAGAAACTGATAAGCAGTATTTACCAAGTGGCCATGTTCATACTTTGTAAAAATGCAGAATTTCCCCTAGTAAGATTTTGCTTTTGTCATTGAATTTATCTTTCCTCACTTGAAAAATACCTGAGTACCCTGCAGCATGGGAGTATTTAGATCAGCATACAGTATTTCACTACAAAATAATTAAGGCAAGTGAACTTAGTTAAACTGGACTGCATTTCTTTATATCTACATCTGCTTTCTCCCAAACCATAAGTGATTTTTTGAATAGTTTTTAATTAGCAATTGGGACAAGCTACTTTTAAATGTCTTCTTAAACAGTATTTCTAGTTTTGATTTCTAATTTTGTTTTTATTGCTGTAATCAAATGTGTGTAATTTCTTATCAGGACATTTAATTATTATATATGTATGTAGTTAATAAATTTATAAATAATTTGATATAAAATAATATATAATACTTAAATAGATAGATACTATATATACACTATGTATATATATGTATATACTATACTATGTATATAGATACTGTTTTATGTAGCTGATGGCTATACACATTATTTGGTTAACAGATATTTTGTAAGTTAAAGATATCACTGTCTTTTCGGGCAGCTTCTGCTAACATACACCTTAATAAAGCCACTAAAGAAACATTGTGCATGTTGGAAGCATTTTAATATTGGCAGATAAAAAGAGTTGCTAGCTGAAGTTAATTGCAGATATTGTGTGCTTTCTGAATAAGGGTGAATTTTCTGAATTTCTGAATCACCTGAATTAGGGTGAAAATGTGCTCTTTGTCTCTGTCCAAAACCAGCACTTTGTGATCATGTGTTCTGTTTGCAATGAGACTCTTCATGCAAAGCCCAGGGACGGTTCTTTGGAACCTGTCTTGATTATCGTGTAAGATAAAGGATGGAAACAGTCTTATAATTTTTTGGTCCTTCAAAAGCGGGGGGGGGGGGAAGGG